GTTGCAATGAACAAATTTGTTGTTATTGTGCTCTGTGGAGTCAGAATCACCTCCGAGCTGACTCTCTAATTGACTTTTCAGAGATTGTCAATCACAAGGGAGAACATTGATTCAAATCAACTGACTTTGTGTTGGCAGCACAACTCCTTATCACTAGGCCACTAAACCCTCCATTTTTAACTTTTATCTGTTAAAATTTTTTCTGAATCAATTGTAGATGTTCCAGAAATTTTTGGAAAATTTCAACTATTCTGATTTTGGACACATTTTGGATGCATACATATCAAAGAAATAATTTTTTAGGGATAACTATGCTAATATAAATGGCAGCGTTAACATTATTGGTAACATCTCTAAAGGCAGTTGGTTGTGTTTCTACTACATGTTATTTAAACATACAAATTCTGAATCTGAAGATAACTCATTCCTCTTATGTAATTTCATGGCTAAAATATGTCCAGCTAGGCCATTTGTTTTGGGAGGATAGGGCAGGACCACAAAGCAGAGAAGTTAAGGATAAAATGGCTTTGGAATCTCGACTGTAGAAAATTTTTAATTTCAAATTTAGGCTTGGTCTTCTATAGCTAAATGAATGTTGTTGTTGTTCTCTAAATTCATTATCCAAATTTAAGAACAATGTTAAAAAGCTCCTGCTGACTTTCCACTGGATAAAAATACCAACTTGGGAATCCATAAAAGTACAGCTCCCTTCCCCTGCCCTTTCTTCTCCTCTAAAGTCAAACAAAATCCTTTGCCAACAAGTTCATTCCAATTTGGTGACTTTCTAGGACAGAGCTGTTGTGTTGTTGTTGTTGTGTACTGTTGAGTTGGAACTGACCCATAGCTGACCCTCCTGAGGGTTTTCAGAGGCAGTTAATCGCAGGGGAGGAAATTGCTCCTGTAGAGTAGCTGGTGGCCCCAAACCATGCACCTTTGGGATTACTGCACAGCTTCTTGCCTCTATGCCACCAGAGCTCCCTGGGACAGAGTAGAACTACCCAATAGGAGCTCTGAAGCTGTCATCTTTACAGAAGCAAACCAGCAGAGCTTTCTCCTGAAAAGCAGCTGATGGCCTCAAACTACTAAACTTTTGGTTCACAACAAAATGCTTAACCACCACAACACCACGGCCCTCTTCTCTTCATTCTTCTATCTGAGGTCTCAGAGATCACTGACAATTACTGCCAGGCTATTTCAGAATTCCTGCAACCTCTTATTTTTTCCTTCTTTGATTAGAACAGACTGTTCCTCTTCTGGTCAAATCTCAAGGAGCCCTGGTGATGCAGTGGATTAAAAATGATGATGCTAACTGAAAGGTAGGAGGTTTGAATCCACCATCTTCTCCATGAGAAAAAGACGATGCTTCTACTCTGCTTCCAGAAACATTTACAGCCTTAGAAACCCCATGGACAGTTCTACTCTATACTGTAGTGTCACTGTGAGTCAAAATCACCTTGGCAACAGGGGGTATATATTGCTGTTATATGCTGTTGAGTCACGTGTGACTCATAGTGACCCTCATAGTGAGAGTCATAGAGTCACTCATAGTGATTTATAATACAACAGCCCTAAACCCTTCTCTATCCTGTGCCAATCTTATTGTCTCTGACACACCTACCTTCATTTCCCCAGTCACTGAATCGATCCATCTCACTGCGGGTCTTCCTCTCTTGTGCTGTCCCTCTACCCTCCCAAGCATGACATCCCTCTCCAAGAGCTGGTCCCTCTTTGCAACATGTCCAAAATATGTCTGATGAAGCTTCAGTATCCTTGCCTCCAAGGAACAGCCTGGTTTCACCCTCTCTAGGATGAACAGGTTTGTTCTCCTTGCAGTCCATGGTGAATTCAATACTCTTCTCCAGCACCACAGCTCAAAGGCATCAATTCTCTTTCTATCATCCCTAGTCATTGACCAGCTCTCTGATTCATAGTAAGTAATTGCAAAGACAATGGTCTGCATCAGACACACCTTAGTCTTCAGACTGACATGACTGACATCATTGCACTTCAGTACTTTGGAGAGGTCTCTGACAGGAGACTTTCCCAGTGTAATTCGTCTTTTGATTTCCTGGCTGCTGATACCAAATGTGTTGATTGTGGAGCCAAGCAAACAAAATTTTTTAGATTTAGTTAAAATCTCCCATTCATTAAGACTGTTCAAAAGTCACACCTTCACTCGAGCAATCTCATCTACTGATGCTCTCTTGCCTACTTGGATATTTGACAGCATATTTTGCCTAAATTTCTTTCATCAATTATGATGAAATCTATGACAAAGTACCATTGTATTGTCTTGATGTACTCTGTTTTGTTGTTTTAGCCGTTTTGTAGATTCTTTGATACCAGGAACTGCCTTCGTGCTTTTTCTTCCTTGTATATTTTGCATGTTCAGTAATTATTTCTTCCTCAATCTAGAGGGTTTCCAATACAGAGGCTCAGTATTTATATTGAGTTTTCAGATATTGATCAGAAACATGATATATGTGGATTCATTCACCACCAGAGACTTTACAGTAGTAATAACTGTGCTTTGTTCTCACTTAGCGGTGTTTTCTTCTAAATATATAAAGATGTAGCTTTTTAAATTTACAAGTAAATGATGGTCTGTATACCATTGAGTTGGAACTGACCCATAGCTGACCCTTCAGATGGTTTTCAGAGGCAGTTAATTGCACAGGAGGAGATTGCCCATCCTTCTCCTGGAGAGCAACTAGTGGTCTTGAATCCCGTGTCTTTGGGATTACAGTGTAGCTTCTTGCCACTAGGCAAGAATATGTAAATGATGATATACAGATTTTTATATGCAAAAAGGACAATCTGATCCTCTACAAGGTGAGATGGGGAAAGTTGTTTTTCTTGTGGAATTTGCTTGCTTTCCTTAGTCTCTCAAACTACTTGCTCCTCAGTCTTTTGTGTGACTCACTAGAATTTAACAGACGATTGTTACTGCATAGTCTGTGTTACACAGGGCTCTGAGGGGAGGGTCTAGAAGGTACACTTCACAAAGTGAAGGTAGTCTAGCCTAGGCTTCTGCCCCACCTCTGAGTTATCTGCTGTAGTTGCTCTTAAGGCTTTATGATTTGTTGAAAAGGATGAGTCCACTAAGTCAGCACCTACCCACCCAACTTCCAAAAACAAAACAAGGACAGCTGCTATCAAGTCTATTGCAATTGTTGTGGTTGTCATTGCTATGGACACTTGAGGTAGAACCAGTCGATACCTGACACTCCAGTGGGTTTTCTGAGGCAGTAAATTGCATAGGATTAGTAGCTGATGGATCCAAACCAGCTGTGCTGGCAGAGCAATTCCTTACCACACCTTAGAGGACCACAATTGTCGCAGGGTAGAACCATGCTCCACAGGGTTTTCAATGGCTGGTTTTTCAGAATGTGATAACCAGGCATGTCTTTTGAGGCATCTCTGGATAGACTCCCACCTCCCACCCTGAAGTCAGCACTGGAATGTTGTAGACATTTACATCTTTCAGACACTCTGCCAGGTCATTAGCAACTCTTGAATTTTTCTTCCTCCTTAAAACCACCTTAGTATAAAAAAAAGATCAAAGCAAGGTGAAAAGAAGGCAGTGAATGAATATAATTATTTAAGAATGATAACAGCCAGCACAAGACAACAAATCTCCATCAATTCTAAGGTGGTAATATGAACTTGTTTGAGGAAGAAGCACATGTGTTTGCTTATAGATGTCCATACTTTCTAGTCACATGAAGAAGATCAATAATAATAAGTTCAATAATAAGCTTATTTATTTTCACTTTTTAAAATTTAAGTTCTGGAATAAAGTAAGTATTTAGTAAATGTTGGCAGAATAAATTGAATGAAGTACAGTAAAAAGTAAATATTACTAAGTCCATTTTAGAGGGGTTCTGGTAGAATAGCTGGTAGGGAGTTGTGCTACTAACCCAAAGGCTACACCAGTTTGGGGGTTCGAATCCACCAGAGAGCTCCAAGGGAGGAAAATGGGTAATCTCGTCTTAGGCAATTTACAGCCTTAGAATCTCACTGAAGGGCTGTTTGGGGTCAGAACCAACTCAAATGCAGTGAGTGAATGAGTGAATGAGTGAAGTGGTAAAATATCCTCTACTTTATCAAATATTCCTTCAGAGTCATTGACATCAAGCCAGAACCAACTCACAGCTGACCTTCCACTGGGTTTTGTAAGGTTGTAAGTCTCTGGGGAGAGGATTCCCCACCTTTATCCTCTGCAGCAGCTGGTAGATTAGAATAACCAGAAAGGCAGTGCTTTTGGGTTAGTCCAGCGACTCCATACCAGCCCAAGAGTGCTCCCTAAACGTCTTTTGTTGCTGTCATTGTTACGGGCCAGCAAGTGGAAACCAACTCCTGGTTGACCTTCTAGTGGGTTTTCAGAAGCTATAAATCAAATGGGAGGAGATTGTCCATTTCTCCCTCACCCCAAGCCTCCATTGTTGTTGTTTTATGTGCCATCAAGTCATTTGCAACTCATAGTGACCCCATGTGGAACAATTCTGAAATCTGCTTTATCCTAAGCCAATTTTGCTGTCTCTGACACACCAACCCTCATTACCCCAGCCATTGAATCAATTATTTCATCAATTGTCTTCTTCTCTTTCTCTGTCTTTCCATTATTCCAAGCATGATGTCCCTCTCCAAGGACCAGTCCTATGTAACATGTAACATGCCCAAAATATGTCAGATGAAGCCTCATTAAGGATATTTCAATTGTTCTTTAAAAGACCATATATGAAACCAACAACAGCAAAAAAAAATAAATATAAAAACAATACATGTAAAAAAACACGAATGAATACAAATTAATTTTAAATAATGACCTCCTGGAAATAAAAATAGAATAAAGGTTTATAAAAATCCAAATTATTCTACTTAGCATCTTTGATTCTTCTATATCTTTCATTAATTTTTACAAATTAAAGAATATGTGAAATAGAGAATTGTGCCTATGACCTGATGAAATGCCACCTCTTTTTACTTTTCTGAAGGAAGTCTATGATTGCTCTGAATATGGAAATGGATCTTGCCCAGAGAATGACAGACCGCTGGGTGTTCGAATAGCTATGTATGCGTTTATGGCAGGAGCCATATTCATCACGGTGTTTGGCAATCTCGCTATGATCATTTCCATTTCCTACTTCAAGCAGCTTCACACGCCAACCAACCTCCTCATCCTCTCCATGGCTGTCACTGACTTTCTCCTGGGGTTCACCATCATGCCGTATAGTATGATACGATCTGTGGAGAATTGCTGGTATTTTGGGATTACGTTTTGCAAGATTCATTACAGTTTTGACCTCATGCTTAGCATCACTTCCATTTTCCATCTTTGTTCTGTGGCCGTTGATAGGTTTTATGCAATCTGCTATCCTTTACGTTACTCCACCAAAATGACCTTGCCAGTCATTCGACGCTTGCTCCTTCTCTGCTGGTCGATACCCGGAGCATTCGCATTCGGGGTGGTCTTCTCAGAGTCCTACGCTGACGGGATAGAAGGCTATGACATCCTCGTCGCTTGTTCCAGTTCCTGCCCGGTGATGTTCAACAAGCTGTGGGGAACCACATTGTTTATGGCGGGTTTCTTCACTCCTGGGTCCGTGATGGTGGGGATTTATGGCAAAATTTTTGCAGTATCCAGAAAACACGCTCGTGCAATCAGTAACTTGCCAGAAAATCAAAACAGCCAGATGAGGAAAGACAAAAAAGCGGCTAAAACTTTAGGAATTGTGATGGGTGTTTTCTTACTCTGCTGGTTTCCCTGTTTCTTTACAATTTTACTAGATCCCTTTTTGAACTTTTCCACTCCTGTGATTTTATTTGATGCTCTGACATGGTTTGGCTATTTTAACTCCACCTGTAATCCCTTAATATATGGTTTCTTCTATCCCTGGTTTCGCAAAGCACTTAAGTACATTTTGCTAGGTAAAATTTTCAGCTCACATTTCCACAATACGAATCTGTTCACTCAAAAAGAAACTGAATAGACATATTCTGTATGATGGATTAAAGCATTTCAATTCACTGGAGCTTTAATTCAATTCACTGGAGTTTAGAAGAATAAAATTGGTCAAAGTGTGTATAAATGTGTATGTGTGTGAAAGATAAAGCAGATTATTTTAGCAAATACAAACAACTTTTAAGGCTTGAGAGAAAGAAAAAAATCTTTGTACCAAAAGCTTCCTCCTTTTTTTTAGATCAGAAACTTCCATACGACAATTACTTGCAGTTCGTTGCTGTTAACTGCCATGTAGTTGACAAAAGTTCATAGCGACCCTAAGAATTATAGATCTGAGCCTTGCACCATCCACATGATCTCTATGACGCAGAAGTCCACTGTGGCAGTCAAGGTGTCAGTCTGTCTTGTTGAGGTCTTCCTCTCTTTCTTCAACCCTCTCCTTTCCCCTGTCTAATACCTCTCTCTCCAGTGACTACTTTTTCCTGAAAATATGTCCAAAGTAAGAGAAATACAATCTCATCGTCCTTGCCTCCAGGAGCATTCTGATCGCATTTTATTCAAGACACATTTCTTTGTTCTTTTGATCTTCTATGACATATCCAGTACTCTTTTTGAACACCACAATTCAGAGGTGTTGGTTTTTTTTGTTCTCATTGTCCAACTTTCAGATGCATGTAAGCAACTGAAAATACAAATGCTTGAATCAGGTATAGCTTGGTCTTTAAAGTGATATCCTTATTCTTTCGAACTTTTGTGAGGTCCTTGGCAGCAGATTTCCCCAGAAAGAGAAGATGGGTACTTTTGTGAGAAGAAGACAGAAATGGACTGAGGAAATCATATGATTTTCAGAAGTAATTAAAACAACACAGAGCTTGAGGAATGTTCCCCTGCTTCACAAGCGCACACACTGTATGACATTTTCATTTCCTTTCTGTTCTTTAGTGTCTGATCAGATATATTTTGGAACGTCAACAACTAAGAATTATAAATAAGTTAATATGAAAATAAAATCTCAGAAAGATCACGTTCTGTCAAACATAAGTCATTTGTCATTCAGTTGAGCTTTGGCTAGATTTTACAGTTGTATGAATAAAATTGTTTTTTTTTGTTTTTTTTTAATTTTTACATAAAAGAAGAAATGGAACACTGTATGACTTAGTTTATAGATTCCACACACATTTTGATTAATGTATCATCTTAATCAATGTAATTGGACTTTTTTCATAATTTATCTTCTTTTTTCACTTACATACCTCTATATTGTGTACTTCTTTTTGATATTCTGATTTTTAATAAATGTCTATAAAAAACTGTGTTGTGAACTGATCATTCCTCCTTGTGCATTTTTATTTATATTGTTTTTTACTTAGTAATTATATATGCTTTTCTGAGAAATAGGGTGGTTTGCAAATCATAGTGACCCTATGTACAGTAGCTCAGAAACCTCCCCAAACCTGAACCAATCTCACTGTCTCTTCACACACTTGTCCCTATTATCCCAGTCACTGTGTCAAACCATCTCATTCAGGGTCTTCCTGTCTTGCACCATTCCTTCACCCTTACAAGCATGATGTTCTTCTCCATGGACCAGTCCCTCTGGGCAACATACCCAAAATAAGTGAAATGGAGCTTCAAAATTTTTGCTTCCAAGGAGCAGTTGGTTTCACCTTCAGTACCACAACTCAATCAATTCTTCTATCATCCTTATTCTTTGTCCAGCTTTCTGATGCATAGTGCTTACAAAGACCATGGCTTGGATCAGGCACACCTTAGTCTCCAGACTGACATCCTGGCTCTTCCTCACTTTGTGAAAGATAATTAGTAAATTACAGGCCTCAATGCTGGCACAGCGGTTAAGTGTTCCCTATTATTAACAGGAAGATTGGTGGTTCAGATCCACAGGTGCTCTGTGGGAGAATAATGTGATAATTTGCTTCTGTAAAAATTTCATCTTTGAAAACTTTATGAAGCTGTTCTACTCTGTCCTCTAGGGTCATGATGAGTTGGAATTGACTTGGTGGCCACAGATTTTCTTTTTTTTCTCTCCTCAAGTTCTGGGTACAAGAAATTTATAATTGCCATTTAGAGTCTCTTACAATTGTAAGCTGATACTCATTTTGTAACTTATTAAATCAATGAATCAATATAGTAAGTATAGTGTGCTGTAACTGGTGGCATGCAGATAAATGTTATTTTGTCATACAGGGACTCTGGAAAGTATACTGATTTTTAGATTTTGACAATCTATGCATGAAAAAAAAATCATTAAAGTTTATTTCCAGCTACCTGTAAAAGAACTACTTATAAAATCCATGTAAAAAAGCAAGGAAGAACAAGTGATTCTATCATATTATTGATTGAAATCACCATTAACAGAAACCAAGTTAGAATAAAAGAAATAAATCTACATCCAAATATATATTATAAATATCTCTAAATATATATTACATATATTTATATAAATATATATTCATATAAAATATTTTTGTTGTTGTTGTTAAGTGCCGCCATCAAGTCGCAGGTGACCCACTCGACACTAGCGTGCATGACTTTCATCCTCTCTCCAGGTTCATAGGGTTTCCAGAGGTAAGCTATCACGGAAGTGGATGCCACCCCTGCTTCCAAGCTTGTTTTAATCGGGGATCTCCACCCCACTCTCAGTCCGCATTGGATAACCAACCATAAATACATTCGATACATCAGTGTCACATATAATTTTGACATATAATCTCCTCCCGTGTGATTAACTGCCTCTCAAAACCTGCTGGAGAGGCAGCTATGGGTAGGTTCTGACTTGATGGTACACAACCACCACCACAATATACAGCAACTAGAATTCTGGTAGTGTTCCTTGATTCTTCCATTTTTCTCAATAGAGAGATTAACAGCAACATTTGGAGTAAAAGTTATACAAAAGCCTATTATTAATATGATCCTCACAGTGATTTTATAACTGTGTAGCCAATAAGAGGGAGGCATCTGGTGACTTCAGCTGTGTGCATTCCAATGTGCCCTCTCCTCACCCCATTTCCCAGCCCCAAGCTGCATCTCTAACTTCTTATCACCCACCTTGCTGGACTTCTGAATGTCTGCCCCTCTTGGACATATACAAACAGAACCAATGTTAAGATGTGAAGCTAACACACTCATTTAAAAAATACATATACTCACATATAAAATATATATTAAATATATATTTATATAAAATACCACAATTCAATCTGTCTTGAGAGTTTCTTATGTTGGTCATCTTATCAAGCATGACGTCTCTGGTGACCTAAAGGATCGAGAGTTGTTCTGCCAACCCAAAGGCAGGTGGTTCAAATACAGCAGCTGTTCTCTGGGAAAATGATTATCAATCTCCTCTTGTCCAATTTGTTCATTAATGTTATATAAATTAGGAAATGAAACAAAAAATATTTCATTGAAACAGTCTATACATATATATATATACAGCTCATATGCATACATATACTGACACACCCCTACATCTGTGCATCTAACTTTATTTACATATATTTATATCTCTGTCTCTCTATCTGTATCTATATATTGCTGTGTTTTTATTTGCTATTAAGTCAGAACCAGTCCTGTAGCAGTTTTTTTAGAAACAGTAAATCATATGGGAGGAGATTGTTCATTTTCCACAGAGAGTTGGTGGGTTCAAACCTCGGGCCTTTAGGATTGTAGTGCTGTTGCTTACCACTAGGTCACCGAGCTCCCTATTGGGACATGTGTCTCTGTTTCTGTATCTCTATCACTGTCTCCATCTCTATCTACATATACAGAACCATTGAGTAGAACTGGCCCTCACATGACATTTCAGTAGGTTTTCCAAGGCAATAAATCACACAGGAGATTACTCATCTTTCTCCTTCAGAGTAGTTTGGTAGATTCAAATAAAGTACTTTTGGAAGGGCAGTACAATTTTTTACTACAAAACTATTATAAGTCCCTAGCTCTGATGACTTGTTGTTGTTATGTGTTGTTGAGTCACCTGTGACTCATAGCCACCCTACGTACAATCGAGCTGAACCCTGCCCTATCCCAAGCCAGTCTCACTGACTCCAACACATCTAATCTGTTTGCCCCAGTTACAATGTCAATCTATCTTATCTGGATTCTCCTGTGCTATCCCTCCACCTTTCCAAGCATGATGTTCTTCTGCAAAGACTCATCTCTCCTGGCCACATGACCAAAGTATGTGAGACAGAACTTCAAAATCCTTGCCTCAAAGGAGAAACTTGGTTTTACTCTCTCCAAGACAGACCTATTTCTTCTCTGGAAGTCTATGGTATGTTCAATATTCTTCTCCAGCACCATAATTCAAAGGTATCAATTCTGCTGTCATCCTTATTCATTGCCCAACTCTCTGATGTAATCATGAAGACCATGGCTTAGATCAGGCACAACTTATTCTCTAGTCTGACATCATTGCTCTTTAGTACTTTGGAGAAGTCCCTCCTGAGAGCTGACTTCCCCACTACCTATCTTTGGGCTTAACATATATTCTCAGGCACCCTATCCTTCCTGGTCTGGTGATAGGTAGGTCCCCCTCTATAACCTATAGTCTATATATTAAATTGGTGGAATGTCTATGAAATTGCCTAGCATTTTATAGGCACAAAAGACAAAATGGGAACATTAGTTTTCTAAAATACAAAGTGTAGCAATGAGAGCTAATCCTTTGATTAAAAAATTCTTTTATATTGGTTTGCATATGAAATTCATATACATTGTGTTTCACACTTCCTTTCACTCACACTGTGTTTAATACAATCATTCCCATATAATGTGCGTTATAAAATTAATCACCAATGAACTAAGCCTACCATTACTCTGTCTTTTCAGGTCCTTACTGGATCCTTCCCATTTTCTTTATCCGTAAAATTGTGCCATCTCACGATTTCCTCTGCCCACCCTCACCTCTCTGCTCCCAACCCTTCCCCTCTTGGACCATCATACACATTTTACTTGTTGTTCTTCTAGTTTTACAATAATGATATTACATAGTATTTGTCCTTATGA